GGGGGCTGAGTAAGTGAATAAACTCTTGCTTCCCTGATCACCACACTGATGTATCTAACATAGCGCAGAGCAAATGTACGCTCTCTGATTGGTACTTTTCAGGTGTGGGGAATGTGGAGAGAAGATAAAGAGAGAAGGAAGCAGTGTCGAGGCTTTCATGTATTGCAGACAGTTACAAATATGTGGCACGGCTGCACATATCTGGTCAGAATGACACCAGTAATCCTATTTTTCAAGGAAGCTTGAATTTCAGTGAACAGGTACTTCTCCATTTTATTGCATTAAACATTGTATCCAGCACCTGTCCCACTAAGGTTTAGTGGATGTGCACACAAAACTCCCTTCTATAGTTTGAGACATAGCCCTAATAATTAGATGAGACACAACTGTTTATAAAGTTTATAACAGTCACAACAGACTGACTTAGTACTTTACCAAAATGTTACTTATATCAAGCTATAATACAGTATATCCCATTTATAACAAATACATGTATCCCTGACTGCAAATCAAGTTTCCCACTTGGGATAATAAATTTATGAATCAAATCAAATCCATATAATAGCAATTTCAATATTTACTGTTCAGTCTTGGTATTAAATGGCCAGTACACCAATAAAAACAAGTGAAAAAAATCTGTTTTATTTGCTTACTCTGGATGAGCTCATAGCAGCTTTCATTGGGAAATATTTTCCACTCAAAGGCATAAATAAATAAACTTGGAAACTGTCTAGACAGCAGCTGGAATGACAACAAATTGAAGCCATGACAGTACCTGAGCTCCTCAAGAATTCAGCCCAGCAGAATTTCTCAGTCACCTCTGTCTGGATGCCTTTAAAATAAACACAGACAGATACAAGGCACAGCGCTCTCAGTAAAGATTTTACTTTACAGAAATGATAAAAAAAAACCCACTATGAAACAAATGATCAAAGTGGCTTTTAATTCATTAAATGAGAAAGTCCAGAATTGTTTTTATGATAATAGCCTGTCAGTAATGCGACACCATAAAAAGCAAACACATCCTATATTCTTCATAACCTTTATTCATATTAAGTACAAAAATTGACATTTGTATAAAAAGGCAACATTAATGTAACCTTTCATAGGTAAAAGAAAAAAAAATGTTATGTGACCAAAATATTATTTTGTGTGGTCCATGTAAAAAAGGACTTCAGTGTGATCACTATCTCGTGACAAGCACAAAAAATGAGCTTTCACTGGTCCGGGCTCAGCCATGCAGCTGGCCCAAGGCTCTCCTCTAATCTATGAAGGGACACTGTTTGCCAAACAAGGCTACTGGTGGGAAACAACATGGAAGAGTGATTTGGGCTGTCCTACATGGCACTGTGGCCAATGGCAAGAGCAAACACAACTCTGTACTGCAGACAGTATGATAATGGAGGAAAAAATGTCAAAGCTGATTAATGTAACACTTCAATAGCGAGTCAGGGATGCACAGCATCAAGAGAGGATATTTATTCTGCAGAGCTTACCTTGGGGTTGGACATAGATTTTACTGCTCTGGGACAGCTTCAAAGGAGAAAGAAATAGAAAAATCTGGTTAAAACAGGTACTAAATATAAATACTTAGTTTTAAATCAATCAGTAATTATTGGCAATGTTTGTTTATCCAAATTACATTTGATTAAATCTTTTCTTTCTCTTTATGTCAGAAAAGAGAAAAAGCCTATTAATGCTCTTCGTGCTCCAAACATATTTAAAGCAAATCTAAACTTTAAAAGAGAGTCAGGACAGCAGTTGCTAAGATAATGGGAGTGCTACCAAATAAATCAGAGGGGATGGAGAGAAAATTGACTGGATGTTATCACACTAGATTCATCCTCTATGTGTGTTTTCTGTCACAATAAAAAGCATGGCGATGCCTCTCAGTGCCTGTCCTGTCTTCCTGCTGTCAGCACTAAATGGCAGAGATAAAGCATGCCACTCGCCTCAATCTACAGCCTACGGCTGGAATCTAATCTGAAAATAAAACACGCTAATATTGTTTTAATGCCAAACTATTACAGGACAGGGCTGGATATTGTGTTTGTGTAGTAAAAGCCCTTCTGTTGTATTTATTGAGGCCGTCAGGCTACGGCTGTCTACTGAAGTGCCGTAAAATACAAACAAAAAACTTTTGTGCTCACTCTTGATTTTTCACTGTTGCTCTGTAATAGATGGGTCAAAATTGAATTTATGTTAAAATAACGCGTATGTGTTAGCTGCTAAGTTTGGGGGGATGGGTGCAGCATAGCAGGCTGTCATGAGCAAAGCAAAAATTAGCAACATGACACACAGACTTGGACATGAAGGCATCAATGCTTATTCGATATAAACTATTCAACTGTGGATGGTGTATTAAAATACAAGAGTGGAATCATACCAAAAATAACTCTGCCTCTTCTTTCAGTTTGTCAGTAAATGCAACGGCAAACCTGATTAAAAAAAAAACAACAATAATAATGCTTTCATCCCCTTATAAACAATTTCAATAAATAAGGTAGGGGTGTAGTGATATACTGGTATTGACCATAACTGTGATATCTAAAAAATGATATATTGATATTGTGATGGCAAATGTTTGGCCTTGTGGATCTTTTGTGTATCAGTTCATCTGGGTGCCTTTTAACTATCCATTAACTGTAATTGTTCTTTTTGTTCACTTTTGTAAGTTATGGTTACAGACTCTCTCTGTCTCCACCTCCCTACACTTGTATTTGAGTCTTTTGTTGCTTATGGTTTGAAGGAAAAGGACTTAAGGATGAATACAATAAGAATACAAAGTATAAAACAAAATGTTACGCAATGTGGAGCAAAAACCAGTGGGGAGATATTCATTTGCACATATGTGAGTGTGCATTAGTAAATGGGCCAAAGGGCTCAGGGTGGTGACTGAATTTCATGATCAAGGTTTGTGTAAGAAGGCACAAACAGCAGGAGGTGCATGGATTCAGATGTTTGAAGTCATGAGACCTGGAAATCCATCTTTTCTCCCAGAAGGCAATTATCCCCTTAGATTTACTAAATAGATGTCCTACCATCTATTTTCATCATAATGATAACAGACACCAGGATCTGGTGCCAGGGCACAGGATATTGATAAGGCTGTGTGCAGATTAACTTTTCAATGTTAAACTAGGGGAGGAGAGAACACACAGCGTGCACAGCTGGGGTTTGTGTGCATGTGTTCAGCCTCATTCTTTCATGCCTGTACTCCAGGCGTCCTCACAGATAATGGACACACTAGTTAATACGATTCAAATGCTTTACAACACATCAGGTATTGCTGAAAAATATTATAAAATTTTGAGTTGCCATGTATTTTTTATTGCAATATCTACAACAACACTAAATGGATGAATACTATGCCCACATTTAAATAGGCCACATATGCAGTGATTTATGGCAACACCTCATTTATTCCCACTGGTCACAACTGTGACAACAATTTCATTTTCAGCTTGTAAATCTGTATCAGGTTTGTTAGTAGGTCCAAGACTGAGAATCACATGGTTAATGAAATTAGAAGATGCCTTGATTTCATTTTAACAATTTCAATTAAGAGGTATTAAATGGTCACATTTACTTCCTGCTCACACTCCAGGATGGTGATGTCTGCATCAGACCTCTATAAAAGAAAGTGAGTAAAACAGGTTGTGATACATACTAACATATTTGGCACTAATTAATCAATTTAGCATCTATTATTGATATGTTAAGACAACTATACTGCCACAGTTACACACTTTTTCACAGCAGATACGTTGCCTTGTCACAGCAGGACAAGAACCGGTGTAAGTCATAACAATAATGATTGCTTCATTACATTTAAACGTCACATATAAGCCATGCCAATGAATGAGCATGCACAATGACAGCACCTTTAAAATGGCACAGCTAAACAGGGTACATCCATAATTAATGTCATTAGTTGCACCTGTGCTTCTCCTGCTATATGTTCAGAAGTCTGCTGTAAAAACTGCTTATTACACATTTTGGAATCATAAGGTTAGTCTATATATATATATATATATATATATATATATATATATACATACATATATACACACACAGACACAGACAAAAGAACACACACACACATAATATAATATTATATATATATATATATATAGTATATATGCGACATGCTTATGCTTGGGGTGGGCTAAGAAATAGAACCATTTCACAGTGAATGACTGGGAAATAAAATCTTATTTACTAATGAATCCATGTAAAAGAAGGGTTCATGTAAGGAGACAAACAGGAGAGAGAATGATACCACAGTGTATCAAACCAACAGTGAAACATGGTGGTGGGAATATTCATGTCTGTGTGTGTTTTTACCATACCTGCACCAAATTGACTACACTCTGACTGAGAAGAAGTACCACTATACTCCTCAGAGACATGCTACACCCTCCTCTGTTGCATCTTTGTGGAAAAATGATTCATAGTGCAACAGGATAATGACCCCAAAAACAACTCAAAGCTTTGCAAGAACTACATGAAGACCAATGAAGACCAAGGAGTCCTGACTGTCATGGACTTTCCTTCACAGTCCCCTCACTTAAACCCCACAGAACATTTATTGGGGCACTTGAAAACTGAGAAGCTCTTCGAAACATTATCAAATCATACTGGGGTGACATGGGTAATCAGGTATTGCACAAAGTTGTGCAGTCCATGCTAGCTCAAGCACATGCTGCCAGTAAAGCAAAGGGGACATATAACAAATACTAAGATATTTATATATTCTGAAATTCATGTACATCTTTCAATGATTCGATTTTTCACTCAAATCATTAAGATGACATTATCATTTGTGACAAAAAAGTAGTATTAACATTAAGAACAAATGCAAAATATAATCATAATTATTATTATTCTGTATGAAATCATTTGAGATTTCCACAGAGATACAAACAAACAGATGGGACAGAGAGCATATTCTGCATTATGATTCTGCAGTGGTCAAGACCACAACACATATTGTCACAAACTTTTCCAAAATAATTTTTGAAAAAATCGGTCTGTGTAACTCAAGTGTTAAAATTCATGTACTCAATTTGGAGCTGTTTGGTATTAAATGAGTTAAAAGAGTAGCTTCCAGAAACATCACCTGGCTTTCAGTAGCACCTGTTCCATAACCACAAGTTTCTGTTGAACTTTCACATCTTCATTTATGTCTGTCCCGCCAAAGATGACACCAAAGGGCACTTGGATGTCTAGTATAAAAGTCAGACATAAAAGAGAAAGGTTCTACCGTTTGTGGGACAGGTATCTGTGTACTTGTAGGTCTGCTGACAATAAATGACAAATGACTGGAAATATGTGCATTAAGTAAGTGAATAGATCATGTAACAGCAAGCATGTTTACCCAAGAGAAGTCTGCCTGCTCTGAACAGATGAATGGCCAGTGCACCCTCAAATGGAGGATTTTGAGATACAAGGTTAGCCACCTCAGCAGGTGACTGAAATTCTGCTGCATCTCTGAGCTCACAAGTGTGTCCTGCTGATTCAATGTGGGACCTAAAATAAAACAAACATTTAAGTGAATGGCTGGTAAGAAGTCAGAGTGGTTAAGCAAACACTGAAACTACCTTTATCTCAAAAGCCTTTTGTTTAACTTATCAACAGTCATTAAATATTTTGCTGATTTCTTTCTTTCAGTCACAGCTGAGTTATTACAGCCATTGTACAGTAAGGCAGGCAGTTTCACACCAACAGCTTTAGTTTCAAATAGCCTTGGTTAACAGTGCAGGCTAATTATAATTAGCAACTGCTGTTGTAACTAGCTACACTTAGCAACAAGTAAATTACCTTATTCTCTCAGCTGTAGTGTGGTTCCCAGTTTTGGGACTGAGACAGGCAAGAAAGAGTAATTTCATGTCTTCACTAAAGGCTGGGCTGTCGAGCTAACTACTTAATATGTTAACATTAATGCGAACCAAAGGGAATGATGCAGCAAACCGAGCTCCTATGGGCTGTTTTAGGCTTGCTAAGCGGAACTATCACATTTCCTGGACCCATGGCAGTTGTTCAAGTTACTCGTTTGGCAAAGCTAACAGCGAGCAACAACACGGCTACCTCAGTACTTGGCAGTGCACCACGCTTGAAATGTTTACAAGTCCGTCTCCTATATGATCCCCTGGAAACAAATGACGGTAGCACATACTGCACTAGCACTTTGGCCCATTGCTGTATTTTATTACGAGACCATAATTTTAGAGCGAGTTTAAAAAAAGAAAAAAATACACCCAGAACACACTCTTGTCTGGTGACATGTCTGTTAACGCCAGAATCAGCTGTGACAAAAAAAACAAAAAGAAAACCGCTCCACCACTTCCTCCTCCCGGTGGTACAATGTCTGCGTAAATAGAACAAACTTCCAAATCACATGGATAGGCTCGTTAATAGCCTCGGTGACAGGGCACGTTGGGTGCGTTTCATTTTTAGATCGTCTCAAGGGAAACGCAAGTGTGACAGTTTATTGACTGAGCTATGTGTCACGCGATAGTACTGTGACTGTTTTTTGTTGACTTCCAGTTCTCCTTAGATAAAGTGTCGATTTAAGACGAGACAAAGTAAACATTTGAGCGGTACCCATTAACTACATTAATGGAGACCCCAGAGACGTGTTTCAGTAGTTAAAGGTAATGTAAAACCCAAACTCTTACCAAGCTATTTCTGTGCTAAAGCTAGGTTAACATGACTGAAGGTGCTTGTATCACATATGATAAGCAAAGTGACTCTCCTTGGACTACTCACATATTGTGAGTAAGGCACAGCTAGCTGTTTTCTCTGTGTACACAGTGATGACAACGTCTGGTTAACCTGTTTAACTAGCTCTGTATTTTCTTCTCAGGTTTGAACTCCTGCTAATCTAAAAGGAACCTAAGCCATTAAATTTGGTTGAGAATGGCTAACAACAGGGATGCCAGTGAAAGCACCCCTCTTTTGGACTCTACTGCAAACAGACCTTCACCACCATCAGTTTTCCAGGGAAGGCGTCTAGCATGTGCAGCAATCCTGCTGGCAGAGTCCTTAGAAAGGATTGCCTTCTATGGCATCACATCCAATCTGGTTCTTTTTCTCAATAGCAATCCTTTTTATTGGGAGGGCACTCAGGCGAGTCAGGCACCTCTGGTGTTCATGGGAGTTACTTACCTGATTTCACCTTTTGGAGGCTGGTTGGCGGACGCATACCTTGGGAAATTCTGGACCATTGCTTCAAGTTTGATCCTATATTTTGCTGGGTTGCTGTTTTTCCCTTTTATTTCAAATGAAGACACCAGGATACACCTTTGTGGAGAAGAGGTGGCATTTCCTGTGCAGCCTGCTGAGTGTCTGAGCACAAACAGTACCCCTCCAAGCAATGTAACCTGCCCCATTCGTGCCCCGTATTGTGGCCCAGTGGTCTACACTGGACTTTTTTTAATTGCATTAGGTGTGGGTACTGTGAAGTCCAACATCACTCCATTTGGGGCAGATCAGGTACAGTATGAACAATATTTCTTTCAGATCTCAAAGTCGATATTAAATAAATAATGTTTAAAGGAGACTTAGATTTTATCATAAACTAGAAGGTGTTTTTTCTCACATAGGACTGTGTAAGATTTGGTATGCAGTGTGACATCATGGAAATCAGACATGTGATGGTATTTCTGCTACACCATGACAGTGCAGTTAGACATGCATGCTCTTGATAATCATGGCCTGACATGGTTGGCCATAGTGTAGTCTGTTTTTCACTCATACAAATGCACAGTCACACAAATAAACAAGAACAATGCTATGAATGATAAGGAGTGAAACAACACGTCTGGCAGTTTGGTGACAAAATAATGTCAGATTATCCAGAGTACCTAGAGGAAGCAGTTTAATAAGCGGGGAAGTTGGTCAATGGGATCATTGTTTCTCACAGTAATCGAATCAGGAGTGGGTAAAGCCTTTCAAAGGGGACTGGCAGGGTGAATACGCTTAGTGCTTGATCCCACTACGCTCAATACAAGATTTTCACGTTTCTGTCAATACTCCTTTTGATCGTGTTCAAACACACAGCATGTACAACATCAAGCACAATCCATACATTGGACCAAGACAAAAGAGAAACACAATAACACAGGCGTGTTACAGCAGCACACAACATAAAGCAACATATGGAATTAGTCCGGCTTTTACTAGTGCCAGAGATTGACAGGGAAAAAATGATTATATAAAAATTAACTTGACAAACTTGAGTGCTAAATTTGAATTACAATATTCATCAGGCAAAGCAGAACTTTCCCACTAATGCTCTTCTAGCTGAAAGAACCTGCTAATACTTGAAATTTACTCAGTTTAAGTAAAATTGAATATTTCATGTTACCGTTTTGCAGTGTGAAACTTGCCATGATTAATGTTGTGAGTTTTTTTTTTTTTTTCAATTAATAGGCACCATAAGCACAAAAATCATAATGTTCCAGTACTACTAGTAGTATTACTTGGGCTGCACACCAGACCAGCATAGAGGCATCTGTTTAGGCAGCTAGTGCTGGACAGATCTTAAAGTTGGGGAATGAAATTAAAGCAGGATTCAGAGTGGGGGGGGGGGGACTGTATTGTAACTGTGTCCCTTTTTTGTCCTTTTGTGAGATGTAATGTCTGTCAGCAATGTAATATTTACTGATCACATTATGTGTTTGATTGAGGGTCATCGCTGAAAATGTTTGTCTTGTCCTGACATGACTAAAGGCTGGAGGGAACACAACCACTTACTCTGATTGATTTTGTGTCTAAACTAAACTCAGGAGCAACAAAAGCAAAATTACTCTGTATATGTATTATTCTACAACACGTTAAAGTGCAGGTGGTGGTAACACAGAACAATCAAGTGATTTTGTAACTGACACAGCACAACTTCAGCGAGGAACCCCAGAAAGATTTATGCTCGGCATCGGCTTGTGAATGCCGTGACATTATCTCCCCAATAGTTAATTGTAGCTGTACTGCTGCATCTTTTGAGCTCATATATAAAAGTCATGTCCACTTCATCACACACTGATAAAATCTTTTCCACCACAGGGACAACTGCATGTGGAATGGCTCAGTGGCATTATGAGAATAATAATATGTGCATGCATAGACGTATAACTGAATTTATTGCAGTTTTGGTAAGCTAATGGTGCAGGCTGTCATAGCAGATTCTTCCAGAATGTTCAGAGCCACAGTGAGCAGATAAAGAATAAATAAAAAGTTGCTGTTTATTTTGTTTATATTTTATAATTACCCCTAAGTAAAAAACAAAAAAAAAAAAAAACATCAAAACCCCCTTCTCTTGTCACCCTATACTTTTACCAATTTCATACAGCTATTAATTACATTATTATCATACTAAATACAGTGATTTTAACCATTTTATCTTTCACATCCATGGCAGTTTCAGTTTTGTGACCATGGTTCCTCTTTGTCAGTGCAGTTTGTCTTTTCTGTTCTGTGCTGTCATGGTTTTTCAAGCTGGTCTATACTAATGCATTTTTTGGTTTTGTTCACCAGTGCAGCTGCTGCTTAAAAAAAAAAAAAAAATGTCCTCATGTGGCAACTTTCCTACCAAAGTGCTGATGACTTCTTTCTTTTATACTCTAGCTGACTAAGGCTGCTGGTTGACAATCAAACTGTCATGACACAACTGTAGCAATGTTTAGGGTTCAAGGTCTTTTCTCTGAGATGGCTAAATCATTTTATTTTAAACAATCTCCTTGTATTTGTGTCATCCTGCTGTATGTGTAATCTCAGGTCAAAGACAGAGGACCGGAGGCCACACGCAGATTTTTCAACTGGTTCTACTGGTGCATTAACTTGGGAGCCATCTTGTCTTTGGGAGGTGTTGCCTACATACAGCAAAATTTCAGCTTTGAGCTGGGCTACATCATCCCAGCGGTGTGCCTCGGGGTCTCTTTCCTGGTCTTTCTCCTGGGCCGAACTGTCTTCATCACCAAGCCTGCTGATGGCAGTGCTTTCACAGATATGGCCAAGATCCTGAGCTTCGCCTGCTGGTCCAAAAAACCTAAAGAACCTAACTTGCTCCGGTGAGAGCAGCGTATCACCTCTGTGTGTCAGTCAATTTAAGGCATTTTATATACTGATAGGAGAAAGATATCCTGAAAGTGTATTGTCAGGCAATAAAAGTGCTAAAAAAACACACACTGAATGACAAACAGCACGCTCACAATAACTGCAGTGTAGCAAAGCATTCATCATTCTCAATGGGACAGCTCTTTTCCTACAGTGTAGCTAGTATTTTAGTTCACGGTAGAGTTCAGTGGGATGGTGACTGTGATCCAGTGGAATAACAGCCAGGTGTTGTTGATAGACCTTTATGTTAAAGCCTCTTTTGATCCCGCTGTATAATTCTTTTTTTTTTTTTTTTTCACTGGTCCAGGCATTCATCTTCATTCCCTGTGGTGAGAAGTTATTCTGAAGTGCTGTTACTTGACTTTGAACCAAAGTAGCACAATCGGTTCAAAAACTTGACATTGAATATTTTAAGTTGGCCAATCCCATAGCCTTTCAAGAATTTCTTATTAAGGCTATTCTCTCCTGAGATGGGGATTATAGGCTTTAGAATAAAGTTTCTTTCCTGTCTCTAGAAGAGCTGTTATTTAGGAGTGAGATGTTCATAAAGAAGGCTGATTACGTCTCCCACTTCAAGAGTTAGGATAATTCTACTATATATTTATTTATGTGTTTATTTTATGCTGCCAATCACCCTGTACTTCTAAATAGCATTTTAAAGGTTCTTTTTCTTCTTTTTTTTTTTAAAATTCCCATGAAGCAACAAACCAACACTACTAGACAGCGCCAAAGTGACCTATGGAGGAAAATTTCCAGAGGAGAAAGTAGAGGAAGTGAAAGCCCTAATGAAAATCCTCCCGGTTTTCTTTGCCCTCATCCCATATTGGACCGTGTACTTCCAGGTAAGATCAACCCATTGTAAGTTCAATCAAAATTTATGAGCAATTTTTTCACATGAGATGAAAAATCTGAAAGAATTTAATATTGGAATATGAGCTCCTCTAGTTCCAGATATGCACACGTGTTAATATGAAGGAAGAT